CCTTGTACGCAAGGGATGGATTTTGAGTCAGGCTCAGACTTATTCTATTCGCGCTTTCTAAATTAAATGTTTGCGGTTAAACTTAATACCTAGTTCTACGCGTGGAAGCTCAGTTCGATGGTAGCTGTTGTGTGTCTCGGCGGTCTCATAGGTTCTTTGCGGCAGCAGCAGTATCGGCGAAGATGTAGTGATGTTAGGTGCAGGAGGTGTACGAAGGTGTGTCGAGGGGGTCGTTCCAAAGAAGTGTTGACTACGTTAAGATCGTAAGTTTAAGCTGACCTTTGGGTGGGGCTCAGATCAAATAATCGTACTCACTCTAAAATACAGCATGAATTCAAACGTAGTGATTTTTATTGATATCTCTAAATATATTATATTTATAAATTACTTAAAGCTTATTAATATAAAATTGAGATTTGAACTTTTTAAATTTTTAATTGCTTTTTTGCTGTAATTTTGAAAAGACTTTGATCAACGAATGCAAATGCCTCACCTAAAGCATTCATTTAAAAGAATTTTCCAGTGACGGTTTCAATCAGCATTTAATTTTTTTAAAATAACGGGACGTTTGAGTAGCTGTTTCTATAATTGTTTGCTTAGGCTTTTTATGGCGCTTGCACAACGCGTTGCTCTTGAACTAGTGTTTGGCTCAGTTCAGTCTGTCACTTATTTCCTCGAGAGTGGGATTTGGGGCTACGCAGTAGCTGGCGTTGATTTCTCTCCTTTAAATTTTAATGACCATTTTTATGCTAAACATTTGTGGTTTTTTTCGCAAAGTATGCGCGAGGAATCTCACCACCTATTTGAGTTCTTTAAGTTTTTCCGTGTCTGTATACTCGCTTGCTTTAACAACTTTCTAAGTTTTCCAATGTTATTTTTGTTCTAACCATACTCTCTTAATAGTTGCTTAAATGGCTGCACCACCGGAATCGCGCAGTTTCATGGATTTTTTTAAGACTGCTCAACTGACAAATATGCCTTACGACTGGACAACTTCTCAACCCTTTTTCATTAATCTTCGTACTCCTGAAGTTTGCATTGCTTTTAATTGATTTTCTAAGTGTCTTCTACTAGATTTCATCGGAATGTCGTGTTTATTTTGCAAGTTTACTTTCCCCTAATGGAAATGTGAACGTATTTTATGCTGACGTTGACGTTTCTGAGGCAGCTTGTCTTCAGGACAGTCTGATTCTCCAACCGCTTCTTCAAAAGGATGCGTTTGTTAGTGTGGCAGTGTAAGTTTCGCCTGCTTGCACCAGGTCCCGTTTTTTGCGATATAGTCATGCTTTTTATGGCTTTTTATCATGATATCCCAAGCCAATTAAAAATATCAATTTTTTACTCAGACGCTCCAAACTTTCACTGGCCGAGAGTCTCCTCCGCGAACGCATGCGTAGCGGTCATTTTAGCGCTTCGGACATAAAGCTTGATCCGCGTTCAGGCACTTTCCTCATCTCCATTTCTGGAAAAATAGTACATTTCACTGATTATAATTGGCCTCGGTCCTGCCCTCAAGTAGGTTCTCTTTTGTACAAGTAGCAACTAGTGGTATGATATTAAAGTCGGATATGTTTTTGCCATTTTTTGTCTAAACAGATTGACACCTTATTAAATGTGCTGTCGGCTGATGAAGGAGCGATGCAACCGATCTTCTGCCCTTGCAACCCTAACCTTATTGCTTACATGGATGGAAGGAACATTGGAATTACCAACGTCCTAACCTCGACTTACACCCGTGTAACGAACATCACAGATCCTAAGAGTATGTTTGTACTTCTTTTAAAGTTGCTTGGGCGACAGTAGGTTCTGCATTCGTTAAAGGTACGGGTTAGCATAAAATATTTTGATTCATTTTATAGTTTCTGCGGGCAGGCCCTCCTTCGTCATCCAAGAGGAGTTTGATCGTTATGTCGGTTTTTGGTGGCGTCCTGTTTTGGATTCGCGTGGTACGTGCAAATGAACTCCCCATAACCCAAAGCCTCAGAAGTCCAAATCTTTATCAGTAAGGTACTTGAATGTATTTTAGGCACTTACTGTTTAATCTACGAGGAAACAGATGAACGTCAGGTGGAAATAATCACTTTGCCTAACTTTTCTGCTTGGAATGAGCAGACAGAACGCCACGCCTACCCCAAACCAGGTAATCGCTTAGTATATTTTGCTGCCAAATCTTTTTACTTACAAACTTTAAGTAGCCGTTATTTACAGGTACTAAAAATGCCACATCAACGTTGAAGATGGTTACATTCGTGCTGGACCCGGAGCGTTATGAGGTTAGAAGTTAGTTTTTCAATTATAAAGTTCCTTTCAGCTAACTGACATCCAAATTCGAGAGTTGCCTTCCCCTCTCTTTGAAATGCTGCCTGAGTATGAGTACCTAGTGCGATGTGATTGGACAGAAGGTGGCGAATTGTGAGTTCCGCTTTTTCAGCCTTCTTATATGCGTACATTTCTTTCCATTTCATAGCTTTTGGATGCTACTATCAAATCGTCTACAATCGAAGATGAGCCTTTTCCTTGTTTCGCCTCGATCCTTCTATACTGAACGATGGACTCCGTTCATCCATTTAATTGATGAAGAAGATCCAGTCTACTGGGTTGAGGTCAGTGGGTTTTGTAATTGCTTGTCCAAATTTTTCTGCTTCATTCTTTATCCTTTCGAACCAGAAACTACAAGATATCCTTCTTATCCTTCAGCCGCATGACTGTTTGCGATTTTTGGAAGCTACTTCCACCAGCGTTCGGTACATTTGGCTCAGTCGTCGCTCAGGCTATGCTCATCTCTATGAACATGTTAGAAATCTCACTTCTCACCAATCACCTGCAAAGTTAATAATACACACACCGGGTCCGCATTGTTTTTCGCCCTCTGAAGCTGTGAAAGAGCTTCAGCTGACTATGGGCGATTGGGAGGTACTAAGTGAACATGTAGGTTTCTGTCATTTCAAAAACAAAGGCTTGTGTTTTCGCCTGCTAATGGTGTTAGAAGGAGACGCTTAGTACTACGTTTACTATCCATATTCAGATCTTTGTGGATGATGTGAATGAGTTGCTGTTGTTTGAGGCTCTGCGCGAACATCCTTTGTGGACAAATGTGTAAGTTTTTTTTCATCAATTGTAGATTGACTTGAAGTTTTCTTATTTTCTCATCGTCTTCCACATTACAAGCAGGTTCACTTAAGCAGCATCTTGATGCACCTTTCATTCCCAGCTATGCAGTCAACTACGGTATGACGGAGCCCTGCATCCATCGCCTAACTCTCGAGTCTGATTGGGTAGCCGCCTCGGCGGTCACTGACGCTCAGCTAGCCGAGGTGGAGTCTCGACTCTCCTTCTCCCTCCTCACATTTGACGCGGCTTCTGGTCTTTGCGTGGTGGAAGCCTCCAGCCCGAAGCTCTTGCCCGGTCAAATTCTCTTCCGGCTGCAAATCGATGCAAAAGGGCTACCTCGATTGAAAGCTTTGGCTGTGTTAAAAAAATTGAGTAAGAAATTAACATTATGAATCGAATTTTGTGTCAATTTTGCCGCCTAATGAAGTTCCCTGCAATGCGACGAAGGTTCTTTGGATTCTAGATCTTTTTTTTCTTTAGCTTCAGTAGATATCGTTCTACCCACTGCTTTGCGTCCACCCTGTGGTCCTCGGGTACTCTCATTCACATTCAAAAACATCGCCACTTCAAGAACAGCACTCACATTCCACGGTATGCTCTTCACTCCGCCTCCGGAGACTCGACCTACGCAGGGATTCCCTACTCTGCATCTCGTCTACGGAGGTCCAGGTGTCCAGCTCGTTCGTGGTGTCCACCTTCGAAATCTGTGAGGCTCGGTAGTCCTATGGCCGACGTATACCACTAATTCGTCATTCTTCCTGAACAAATTTTTTTTTCTTCATTAGCAATTGGTGCCAAGGATTGGAAAAATGAAATTAAATGCAGTTTAGAATCCAAAACTGGGTTTAGGACAATTTATTGTTTTCCTGCATAATACAGCTTAAGTGCCCATAAGTAGCAAGACTAGTTGTGCTGTGGCTTTATCTGTGACTTTTTCCCAATTTTTTTGCTTCATCATAGAATTTTGCGAGCTCAACTCTTCTGTCACTTTGGCTACGCTCTTCTTCTCTGCGACTGTCGCGGTTCAGCAAACCGAGGAAGTCAATTTGCTGGTCACATCAAATATCAGATGGTATAACTTGCTTTGCACTACTCATGTAACAGCTAATTAGCAGTACCAATGTTAAGACACACGCATCCCGACATTTGTGTAGCTACTTGTTGCCTCTTCCCAATCCCCTTTTCCCTTCTTTTTGTTGCCTAGGGAACTGTGGAACTGCCTGATCATGTAATGTTCCTACGCGAAGCCGCGATGCAAACGGGCTTGATTGATCTCAACCGTGTGGCGATTTATGGAAGCTCATATGGCGGGTACCTGGCACTTATGGCTGCAGCCAAGCACCAGGATGCCTATAGGGCCTCCATAGCCATCTGTCCAGTTGTAAGTTGGCTACATTATGACACAGCCTATACGGAGCGCTACCTCGGCCTTCCTTCCGAGCACGAAAGTGCCTACATGTAAGTCTATTGTCTTGGCAAGTGGAAATGGTCCCTACTGAGATTGCATTTAAGTAGTAAATAATTCGTCTTTTCCTTGGATTTGCAGAAATGGTGACGTGTTGACCTACGCCAGTTACTTTCCGGACAAATCGCCATACCTGTTGATCGCACACGGAGGACAGGATGAGAATGTCCACTTTGCACACACAGCCAGTCTTCTGCAGCGTCTAAATGCCCTTGGCAAACCCTACCACCTCTCTGTACGCGGTCGCTAAAGTGGCCTCATAACCTAAAGCTGTGTCGGTTATTTTACTAGTCCTCTTCACTAAACGAGTGTAACATCACCTATTTAGCTAATTCAATCGCTATTCCTATCTTCCGTTGCTAGGGTGTCCGGGTGTAAAAATAAGCACTTCATTCGTTGTCATTAATCCAAACAGTCAATTCGCCCATTTAAATCCTTTTTTCGATTTCAGCGCCTTTAACATCTGCTCGCCTTCGGGCTCCAAGTGCTGTTATTTTAATTAATTGAAGTCGATTTTTTGGATCCTTTCTACTCACTGCCGACTTAAGTAGTTTGCTGTGCGCTTGCAGGAGCGCTTAACCATGCCATTATACATACTCGAACCTAATATTTTGTTTATACAATTAAATGCACATCTTCTTCGACAGCGTCTTTTTCTCCTCTAGTTTTATCCAGACTCACGACACAGGATTCGTGATGACGTCCATTTGATAGCCATGGTCCTCAACTTTCTCGATCAAACCCTCCGAGCACCGTCTTAAGTAATTCACTTCCTCCTACCTTCGCCTTCTGTCTCTTCCATTATTAATCCCCCTTCTTCTGCTCCTTCTTCCAAATTCAGAAATTTAACGCCTTTCTTTTTTGCTTTCTTTTGTGATTAAATTAAGAAGATGGAAGATGCGGTAGACAATGACGGTCTTTTTTTTCTGGACTGGGACGCTTTTTGAATGAGATTAGTCGGAGGCGGAGTCTCAACCACGAATGGTGACGTTTCTGTCGATGAAAAGGAGGCGTTGCCTCTTCCTCGCCAATTAGAGGAGCTGGTAGAACAATCGGGTTGTCGGAGCGGTTTGGAAAGCTCCATAACGGGGGAACTTGCCAATCTTGTTGGTATCTTATCATAATTGAGGTCTGATTCTTCTGCGGGGCTCCTACTATTAGTCGTGATTAATGGCCCTTAAAAACATTACACCTTTCCAAAAGCCACCTTCGTCTCTGTGGAGCAACTTGGCTCTTTATGCCCTATAACTCCATCCGGGGATGAGGACAAACACTAGTTTACATTCATACCTGAGAGACATCACAAAGGCGCCAACCTCTTTTCAAATGTAGCCCGAGAGCCCCATGGAGCACGAGTTGAAATCCCTGTAACAATCTGCTCCCCCAAAAAATGTTAAAATCCCATTCGTGTTTGCTGACAAACACGAATGCGTCCGCCTCTAGGGAGAAAGAGTTTGAATGAGTAAGTTAAGGTCTATATTTACAAGTAAGTGGAAGGTAAATAATGAACCATAATAAAGTCGCTTAAAACCCATACTTCTGTCGACTTTGTGCTTGGTTCCGCCGTGCCTCCGCCCACTGCTCCTGCAACTCATACTCCTGTTCTTGTGCCTATAAAAGAAATTCGGAGATTGGATCCACGTAAAACAAATAAGTGGAACACCGCAGCCCTTACAGTGGTGCTAAAATTGGCTAATTCAAAAGACAAGACATTGCAAAAATTATTCAAACAATAAACAACTGCACCTTATACGCGAGCCAGGTGATTTGGTGCTTGCGGAAGGCCAATTTGCCCGGATTATTGACCAGGTGCTGTTGCGGTTCCATCTTTGGACGTGCAGTAGTAATGTTTTTAAGCAGCTCTAGGCTGGCACCTGCAGTCAGGTCGTCTGCGCGCACCTCCCTCACTTTTGCTCCGCCTGAGGCGGCAAGCAAATCGGCTACGGACATGGCGCTAACTCCACTACGACTCAGCCGCGCCCGTTTACGCTGATAAAGGGAAAGAACTACAATAAGGAGCGCTTTAAGCCTACCCTATCAAGACATGAAGGCCCACACGGACCCCTTATGAAGATTTTGACCAGCTACCAATCAATCAGAGGCATTCACGAACGCCTCTGCAAAAGAAGAAATCAGCTCAAAGCCAACAAACAAACAGTATTATAGAGTTGATAGCGCAAATTATCTCATAACTCAACCAATATTACCAAAACGGGATAAAACTTAACCTCTCACCTCGGGGCCAGGGATAAACGTCTCGGCCGTAAACATAGGTCCCATGTCTTCCGCCTCCTCAGCTTCCTCCTCACTACCTGCACCTTCTTCATGCTCCATGCGCGGTCTTTTTGGAAGCTGCCAGTCCTTGAAGGGTTTCTCTTCCAATGGCGGAAGTTCTTGTGAGGAAGGAGCTGTTGCTTGAGGAGTAAACCTGCTCGCTGCCGCTGCTTCAGTAGCAAGAACACTTTCTCTTGCCCTCCGACGGGCTTCTTCCGTGGTGGAGGGAAGGACTGAATCATCCTGATTGTCGTTAAAACTAAAGAATCCATTAGGAGAGGTCGGATCATCTTCCGTATCAATGACCCCTGGATATGATTCTGTTAAGGGAAGAGGATTCTGGGGAGCAGGCTTAGCTGGAATTTTCCGAACAGCCTGTTTTGGTACAAGGAGAGATGGAATAATCGGCTTGTCCCCCTCCTTAACGATAAGGGCACGAGTTGGGGGAAGTAAATCCAATAGGCCTTTGTGTAACGTAGGTCCAATTGGCACCCGAGATTTCTGTCGAGATATTTAGAAAACAGCTTTGCATAGAACACTTTGCACTTAAAACGCATTAAAACTCTATGAACTCTCCTTGGAAAAAGCACGAACACCGTACAAGAGGGACTTTTACTCACAGAAGCAGGCAATTCGCCCCGGGATAGAAGAAAAGATATGGGAATGAGGATTTTACCTTAACACTCCCGGAGTCATCAGAATCACTATCGTCAGAGGAATTTAACTAAAATTGAAAAGATAACATGTTATGTTTTAGAAGCTACAAAAAAGATAGCTGAACCTTACTTCCTCGATGGTAGGTATGGTTAAAATAACCTTCCCATTCACTCCCGCCTTCTTCTGAATATTCAAGGGTTCCAAAAATGGCTTCGCGTTCTTTGGCATCCTCATTTTATACTCTTCCTCGACTTTGTCTTGAAAGTCCATCCCTCTACTAGAACAACCTGCAGAACTCATTGAAGTTTTCTCGCGGGCTGATTCATCTGCAAAAGAACGCATACATACCACACAGTTCAATAAAAGGAGAAGAATGGATGGTCTTCTCACTTTCAGTTTCAGAATCTGACATATCTGATCCATCATAGTTTACCAACGCCATTGTAGATAAGCGAATCGGTGTGTGTAAATAAGGTCAGTAAGACAGGCTGATTACGACAAATACATTTAACTAATCAGAATAAAGAAACAACGTATGGATTTAGTGGAAAATGTTTGTTGAGACACCCTGTCAAACAAACCTTAAAAATACATTTTTACTGTATTTTGCAGGAATCATGCCTTAAGATCGAGAATGTGGAATGCTTCACACAGTTTTGCTCATGTTTTTGCCCGCTTAAAAAAGGACATGTGCCATATATTCATTATTTTTGCTAACTCGCTAATCATAATTTTGTTAGCATTAAAAACCGATGCCATCAATGACAAGGTTGTTACCATAAAACCAGCCTGCCTGCCCTCATACCCCTAAACCATGGTCCTTAGAAGTTGGTTAGTTGTCGAAAATTTTGCTTGCCATCGTGTACAAGAGGAAAGAAAATGCGGAATGACAGACGAGACGAGGAGGAACCTTAGCATTTCTCTTACACTCAACTCGTGTTTGAATGTATTTCTCACCTCTCCTCTATAAAGTCCGACTTAAACACACTGGCAAATAATACAGCTGCGTTACATCACGCGTATTATCAAATTTTTTTAAATATTTTGCCATCTCTTTTGCTTTTTGGCCTTTAAGTCTGTTTTAACGGATTTTACTGATAAATGCTATGCAACACCGAAATCTACTAATTTGGAAGTTGAGCGGATTATGGACTGCGTTGGGCATCGACCATGACGCTTTTGGCGTCTCCATGTGGAAACGGTGTGACCCCTCTTTCCCAAACCATTAACAACAGTTCTATCGTTTCCTGTGGCGAACTACAGGTTATATTCAGGACTGCGGTAGCTGCTTAATTAAGATTGCCATTTATTCATTACTTATTCTTCCTTTGGCCAATCCTCTCCCCACTCTTCCTCACCCACCCACAAACAAGCCCATTTGGTGCAGGAAAAAGCGTTAACTCCTCGCTGGCTACCTATGCTTGAATAAATCAATGAGTCTAATTTGTTTGCTTGGGACAAAAATAAGCAGAACACTAATGTACCTAAACAAAAAATTATCTCGTATTCTTACTCTTCCTGTCTGTCAATATGTTCTCGACTGAACTTTGCATGCAATCTAAGAGCCTTGCGACCCGGAGCACTTTAATTAACCGTTCCAATTAGGTCACGGCGAGGCAACGCCTCCCAAATTGCCCATAGTGGGGACAAAAGCTGTTTGAGTTTAATCAGGTCAAATATGAAACTTGAGTGGCATACCTCTCAACAGTGAACAACTCCGTCCCTCCAACCACTAGGCAGCCCTTCACCTCGTTGTCATGCCTTCACTCAGCGCTGACCAAATTTACCTGGTTCGGCATAAACACTTTTGCTGTCCATCAGGGGCTACCGGTTGCCCCAGAGAGCCTTCACCATCTATCACTCCACCTCTTATCCATTTCTTATCCTCCTGTAGTCAAACTTTTACCAGTTGTTTTACATAATTGCAACAGGTATTCAGCTTTCTGAATTAATAATCTGGTTTAACCAGCAGATTCTCAACCAGTCCACAGGCAGTTATTCAGCTACGCCCATCTATCAGGACTGCTGTCTGCCTGTATCAGTAGCAAAAGGATAATTTTCTGTTGGTTTAAGATATTTTGTTCGAAGAAAGGATTCAGGCCCTGAAGCAACTTGAAGGTGGTCCGCACTTCTTTGTTTACGCAATTGTGGAGAGATTAATCTCCCTTTGATCTGTAAGCGCTGCGATCGCTGGGCGACTTTATGGAGGAGGGGGCGGAGACAGGGCGAATCGAAGCGGAGGGACTTTGGTCGAGTCATAACACAAGTATGCTCCCTAAAAATAGAATTTATCTGTGAATAATAAAAGGCGAGTAGGATGAGGACAAATCTCCCTACTCCTCTGTGTGTGTGTGTGTGTCTCCCTATCACTCATTCCCGACCCTTAAAATGTGTGACACCAAGTGGAAGGCGAATGGAACGGTGCGAGGAAATAAAACTTATGGAAGCAAATTAAGGTACAACCATCACCGACCCATCCACGATCTCTGCTACCTTCTCATTACTCTAGCGCAAAAATCACGCAATCACACTCACCTACCCTGTGGGTGTCCATATCATGGCAATACCTAACTCCCTTGAATTTTTCCTGCCAAATTTTGTCGCATCCTTATCTGAAGCCATTAATTGCTAAAATGTGTGAGGCATCAGCAAATAGACATTAATTTATCATCTTGGTAAGCTTAATTATGCCCCACATTCCTAGCACGGCAGTGGAGGGGCGACGGGTGGGAGCAAGGTTAGATGAGGCGACCAACGACGGAGGCGCATGCCACCGGCGCGGTAAAATGACTCACAGAGAACTTCAAAGACCCGCAAAATGGTGTGAAGGGAGGAAAAAAAAGAATGTTTCTACGACCGTTGTCCTTTAGCACTTCCTGTCATTATCTCTACACCGCCATAGGCACAGCCAAGGAAGTAGCTGAAGCATATCTCTGACACTATTCTAAATAGTGAAGGCCTTTTGCACGACAAAAGGAGCGTGCCCCATCGACGCAGGTGAATCTGCTAATCTTGTCTACCTCAGCAAGTTGAACTGCAGCTTTCCTAAAGGTGAGTAATGCTTCTATTCGGCAATTTTTTTACCCAAATCGAGGATTCTTCTACATCAGACCCATCACACGCAGTTGCAATGCCATTCCAGAAGCCTTAATTTTCGATATTGCTTGATTGCGTTCATAAATCCATTCAGTTCTCCATTATCAGATGCAATTAAAGTTCGTGTGCCACCACAGCACTCTTCTTGAGCGACTGCTTCCATTCAATAGTAAATGTTTGCAATGTCAGTTTGACTATTTGCTATTTCACTTAATCACTTGAAAGCCTAAATATTTCAACTGATCCGCATTTCACCACCTTCAATTCCAACATCATTCCGAATTGGGTGCGATTTTAAGTCCATATGGAAATCCACTTGCATTCTATCATTGAGGCAACAGCTGGCATTAATTGCTCTTTAGGGGCATGAGAAATAGGGCGAGAACCATCTGTTGCCCTCTCTTTTTGCACAAAAATAGCAAGAAAACGGACAAAGATTTGTTTAATTCCAGATCCTTTGTCTCAGCATTTGCTTATAGGAGCCGCCTCTCATTTTAGACGCGCAAAATGCACCAATCAATGGCCTTATAGCGAAGTCGTCCCGGCCATTGGTCTGTGCAAACCATCGATTGATAGGCCTACAGCAGTGCATGCGCAGTATCGATCGACGATCTTCAGCTCAGGCGCCCTACAACTCGGAACACTAAAAAAATGGATAGCTTTAGTCCTATCTGCGCAAAACAATTGATTATGTGATCGTTAAATCTAATCGCACTTAAATTAAGTTAAAATGTTTTTGGCTACAAAAAAGGATGCAAATTGAGTGTTTTTTTCCCAAAGATTATCTACTGCCAAATAACATGGTTGACAAGTTAGGCAATTTTTATGTTTTGTACAACTCTGCCAGGTGGCTAAAAATAACCACATATCTGCGTAATTTGGTAACATATTGTTTTTTTTTCTTCAAAGGTGATTGACAATTTGAGAGTTAAATGCGTTTGTAAATTATTAATTAGTCTTTAAATAGTGGCTGCATCAGTGAAGGTTTATAAGGCCTGAATAATGAATGCAACAAATAAGGTAGCTATAAATAAAGGCAGTTGCCACTTTAAGCAGCACAGTCACTTGAAGATCGGCGCAAGTGGGAGCTAGAAAATGTATCTTATTTTACTCCTGAGAATAGTGAGGTATGGCGAATAATTCATTAGGCTGGCTCATTTTTTTAATTGTTCAAAAAAGGACTCTTCATGTCTGGTTGCGCGACCGATTTGTTGTCGATGTGTGGCACGAATATATTGGATGTGTAGGCAGTTTTCAGCACCTCTGCAGTGAGAGGTGATGGTAGTAACCACGAGAAGTCCAAGGTGGTCCTCCATTGTCGTCTGAGTGACGAGTAGGCAGGAAGCACGTCAGTCTAGTGGAGGCAGAAACGACTGGAACACCAACATGGCGTGTGGGGGGTGGGAAAGCGACGTGTTCACTTATGTACAGCGTCGATTACTCGCTTATTCTCGTAGCAAAACAGTGTATGGATTGCATTTTTAGCCATTTTAAGCCAAAGTGTTCTGCATCACTGCAGTGACAGACGTAAAGTGGTGTAAAATAAAAGCTATTTTTGGCATTGCGAATTAGAAAAAAAGAACAAAAAAAAATGTAGGACCTCTGCAACAACTGAGGCAGGAGGTCGGGGAGAAATGAATTTTTGGTGGTAGGAATTGGGAGTGACGGAAAGAAGGGAACACATTCGACCCTACTTAGTTTTGATTTTACCTCCAAAAGCCCCTCTCTCCACTTTTCCCCCTTCCTCCCTTCCCAAAGTACGGCCTCTCAGCACTGCCACCTCCGTCAGTTCAATCACTCAACAGTAAGGCATTCAGGCGACAAGGCTTTTCACCTTCACTCCACTGATGATGGTGGAAGATAAGGTGTAGATGATAATTTATCCGACACTCTATTTGCCTCTTTACTCATCGTACTGCAGATCGTTCAGCATTGAATTTTCCTGTCCTCCACGTGCGTGGGTGGATGCAGAGCCGGAGAGAAGAATGATTTAGTGGAGTAGTGTCGTTTCCCTGTTTTGTCTCCCCTAAGTAATTGGCAAAGTTTTCTTCACCTGCGGGGAACTTAATTAGCCTTGCTTAGAATGCCCTAAGAGGAGTCCACCAAACAACTAAAGATCTTTCAATCTCTCAGGCTCAACGAAGGAGACTTCTGCTAATGGAACGGGAAAGAAAGGTGGATAGGTAAAGCTCCTCCTGTTCCCTTTATAAAACATGTAGATTAATGCTTCACTTTCTTCGTTTAATTTTCATCCTCCCTCCGCATTATCCTCTTACACGGCAATGCTTATAGCAACTTTGAAGGCAATTCTGCCCACTACTGCGTCAAGGAAACGGTGACTTTATGAATGTGGAACAGTTAAGGTGGCAGAAGAATCACGTAATTCGTCGCATTTTGACGTGTGATATTCTTTTGTCACTGCTGTGAAGAAAAGGGCATCCAATGCTACTGCCTCCTAAGTGATGGCATTGCTGGCGTGAGAAGACTGTGTCCTCATCTCACAAGCAGCCCCCTTTTGCCTATCCTTCGAGAGCAGTAAATTGGATTCATCACTTCGTTTCTGCATTAGCTTTTACTTGAACATCTTTCTATGCGTTGGATAGATGAGCATGCTCATTTGTAAAGTTTACTTTTGCAAAGACCATTTACTTGTCACTAATTGTTTTCATGCGCTAGAAAAGTACACACGTACATACGCATGCACGCACGCATGCATGCGCGCGCGTGCGCACACACGCACGCACCCCAAAACGCGTTAATGCGTTCTCGCGCTTGCGCGCTGGTGCTCACCTCATCATTCCTCCTCGCTCTCCCCACTTATCAACCAATCAGTAAATTGGGAGCGTAAACAGCTGAAAGATGAGCAGCACTAGCAGCAGCAGCAACAGCAGCAACAGCGGCAGCAGCATCATCATCGCCATCAACAGTGGTGCGTGGTGCAAGCGAGTCTTCTCCGTGCTCTACGACGATTGAATGAGGCTAATGGACAGCGGTGTAGATATGCGTGAGACATCGCACTCCACGTCTTCCTGTTCCTCACGAGTTGAGGTCTATTCCACCGACTCCTCCTCTACCACATCCTCTTCAAATGAACGACGCGGAGGACGAGGCACATCAACAACAACAACAACAACAGCAACGGCAACAACACCAACTTCACACTCAGTAACAGCTACGTCTGCGGCACCTGTGGGCGGTGTAAACGCTCTAAAGTTGTTCATCGGCCAAATCCCAAGGTTTATGAACGAGGCGGACATAAGACCCATCTTTGAGGAATTCGGACCGATTTCTGATATCCTCGTACTAAGGGACAAGTTAACTGGCATCCATAAAGGTGAGACGCTCTTTTAAACTGCAGTCCACCTCGTTTCCCTCCCCCCCTCTCCCTCCTCCTTTTGAAGGAGTTAAACGAAACGGCTTGACAATGCATAGGCGTAAACATCTGAAGTTCATCCCACTGAATTTTTCAATTTCAACGGGTAAGCAACGGATACCTCCCTTCTGTGGGAACGGATTTGGAAACTTTTTGAGGCCAATACACGTCAAAAATTAAGGTGAGATTGAAATTTGGGAGTAATGTGGGGAAGGGGGGAGGAAAAAGGAGGCTTAAAACACTTCGCTCCAATCTCATTTCTTTGATTTTCTCTTTACCAAAGTGTTTCTCACCTCTGTTTTTCTCTCTCCTTCCCCCTCTATTTTTACGACTTTGTGATAATTCCGGCAATACTTTCGTAGATTTACGTCACCTTGTAGGGCGGTTTGAACTGCCTTCTCTCTATCCCAACTTGATGGGCATGTTGTTTGATAGGTGTGACAACAACAACAACAACAACAAAACTGATAGTTTAGTGGAAATGCTGTGGTTTTGGTTGCATGATTCTCTCAAAAAGGGGCACATCCCATACCCGAAAGAGGTGTTTTTCGGGGAGGGGGGGGACTGGTGCACACCCTAACAAGATTTTATTGTTATAATAAAGATGATTGTGATGATTATGATGATGGTGGAGGTGGTGGTGGTGGTGGTGTTGGCCAGCATCTCCTCTTTCCATCCTTAAGATCACTGTGGCTGTAGTTACTTTGGACGAGTAGACAACTCTTCTCCCCTGGCGCGAGCTGCGTCCCCTCCCCCACCCCACCCCCCTCTGGCCGCTTCCTTGTTAGTTTGTCTTGCCTAAAGTAATAAATTATGCATTTACCAGGCTACTTT